TAGACGAACTCAAAAACGAGGACGTACAATTACGATTGAACTCCATCAAGAAATTGTCGACCATTGCTTTGGCACTAGGAGTTGAACGCACTCGTTCTGAACTGATTCCTTTCCTCACCGATACCATTTATGACGAAGACGAAGTACTCTTGGCTTTGGCCGAACAACTCGGTAAGTTGCATCAATCGTACTTTTTACTACATAATACAAAAAAAACCTCAAAGGAAACATATAATAGCTCAGAAATCAAGACGAGAATAAAATATCACATTATTGTGAAATTTGGAATCCTAATTATTGTTTTAAGTTTAATGCCTCTCCACTTCTAACAAATTTTCCTTATGTACTATCATTTATTAGTCACTAATTGCTTGAATAATCTATGTTCAAACTCGCAATTTACTTATCTCTAAGCTACGGATGCTCAGTTCCAATTGACATTTTTAACTGGACAGGCTGATTTTAACTGTTCAGTTCAATTGCCAATTAAAATTTTATCTACACACGCACATTTTTCACTAAATAATTCAAGTCTTTAGTTAGAACTGTCTGTAGTAGGTTTTAGAGAGTAATTAAAACCCAAATTTGTTTAACATGTAATTCAATAAATGTGTTTTTGTACCAATGTAACTACAATAAAATACATTATTTTATGTCTAAATCTATTCATATATTATTTCCATTTTAATATATCAATCAAATTCAGTTTCATGTTAAACATATATAAAATTAAACAAAAGTCAAAACCACAATAATGTCATAGGTAACTTCATCAACCTTGTTGGAGGTGGTGAATTCGCCCACTGCCTGCTGCCACCGCTGGAGTCACTCGCTACAGTCGAAGAGACAGTAGTGAGAGATAAGGCAGTTGCCTCACTACGTGCAGTCGCAGCCCATCACACTCCTCAAGCATTGGAACAGCACTTTGTACCTTTAGTACAGCGTCTAGCTGGTGGGGACTGGTTCACATCGAGGGCTTCAGCATGTGGACTGTTCAGGTATCTTTAGATTACCATTGTTTGATATGGATACTAAGATATTGTTATCTCATTTGCTTTCTGAAAAAACTGTTGATACAATGCTCAGGTATTATATAGCATTAGGGGAGTCCGTTTCTACAAAGATTACGAGTGATGGGTATAGAGCTTTACTAATTCTTATCCACAAAGACCGCACTCACGTTAGTGGCCGGCATGCAGCTGCGGCATGAGGAGAAGCCAAGAGTTAATCTCAAGTGAAAATGTTTTTATAGTCCAAAGTAAATAAACCAAAATTATTTATCTCCTTTATTAATTTACTATGTTTCTCTCTCTTGTTACTATCTTGCTATTAAAAAAAAACAAAAGCAAGTATTCTGTGTGTTCTTCCAGACTATCCTCTACATCTATGATAAATTTGATGCAAGATCCTTTGAGCAGTATAGGCTACAAACTCTAACATAGAACCAGACTCATCTAAAACTTTTGCATTTATGTTAGCAAGATTTTTAAAACACAAATAAGATTTTGTTGGAGTACAATTTGAAATTTTTGGAGATTTTATATATCTTGAATCAATTAAGCCAATAGCTAATAGTTTGGGGTTAGTGTAGTGTATGGCCACACTGTTTACTTGTGTCATGGTGTCATGCCAGCAAGTCAGTCGTGTCCAAGCCACCGACAGGAGCAGACGTCCCAAGCATACAGTATACAGTAAGGACTACAGATCTTGTGCTTGAATTCCGCCATTGGACTATCGTCGTGAACCATATCCTAGCACAAGCCTAGAACTTAATCGGAATGGTTAGAGAAAATATTAGTAAATTAACAAAAATCAACTGATATTTAAAAAATTATCCAATCTAAGTCCAGTCTAAAAGCAATCACAAATAACTATTGTTTATTAGTCAAGGTAAACAAGGTTATTGTCTATTGCAGATGTGTTTGTAAATAAAATACTAGTTAGAAGCAATAAAAGGTGTTTGCAAATTATTTTTCTTACTCTGCAAGTGAAATGCCAGAATATCTGTACATATTTTTCATATTCATTATATTTTTTCATCAGACATATTTGCCTGCAATTCTATCCTTTCTAAACTAAAAAAAAAACTTTATTTTACATCTACTAAATTTCAATGATGTCCAATAAGCTGTTTTGGAGATATGTGTTGTTAGACAACTTATTTAATTGATACTGTCGCTTTAAACTCAGAGCAACACTTCTCGTCAAGACTCAAGTTGCGCGCCAATCTATCCATACTTTTAGTGACATTGACAGCTGTCAGCTAGGGACGTGACGTTTATGACGATAATCTAGAGTTGCACCAATTCTATAGCACGGTACTAATTTTATTCCTAACACTATAGACTTTGGAAAGGTTATATATACTTCAATAAATCTGATTTACAGCCTTATAAAAGTACTATTTAAAGATAAGAAAGATCAGAATAAATAGAAATAACGAACCTTCTAAACTTTTGCATTTATTTTACTAATATTATAATCGCGAAAGTTTAGATGGATGTTTAAGTATTGCATGAACAGCTTAACAGAAGCTCTATGGAATTTGGCATAGATGTAGAAAATTGTCTGTAGGACTGATAGGCTACTTTTTTTTTTAATTCCACACAGGATGTAAGCATAAGCTAATTTATAATATTAGTTACTATCTGAATACAAAAGAAGCCTATGTGTTGTTCCAGACTATCCTTCACATCTATGTCAAATTTCATCAAAATCCATTCAGCTTAGGCAACAAACTAATTATCCATCTAAACTTTCTCATGAATATTAATAAGATCGAGTTGTTTCTTGGTCCAGTGTGTGTTACACGCGGGTCTCCGCCCCCGTGAAGGCGGAGCTCCGCCAGCACTTCCGCACGCTTTGCCAGGACGACACGCCGATGGTGCGCCGCGCAGCCGCTTACAAGCTGGGAGAGTTCGCCAGAGTGGTCGAAGTGGAGTATGTGAAGAGCGAACTTATACCCATGTTCGTGTATTTGGCACAGGTAAGAATTATTATGTCAATACCACACAAGAAAGCGTAAAGTGAAAGCAATTCATCAGTGCTATCTATACTCATGTTATAAAAAGGAAAGATTTGTATTTTTGTATGTATTGAAATAACTCAAAAACAAGATAGACGTTAGTTGTGAATGTCGAGGGGTACATTGGTAGAGGAAGACCTAGAAAGAGATGGTTGGATTGCGTGAAAGGTGACATAATCAAGAAGGGAGTGATGACTGAGATGACGGATCATAGAGTGCTTTGGAGGACGACAACCCGGTGTGCCGACCCTACGGAAGTAGGATTAAGGCAGGGGAGATGATGATTGAAATAACTCAAAAACTACTGTACCAATTTTAAAAATTCTTTCACTGTTAAGAAAGGTGAGTAAAATAGGCTATGTTTTTTTACTATTTTCAATTTCACTCGGGCGAAGTTGCGAATAACAGCTAGTGTTTGATAAGTGTTCGATGCTTAATTTTAGGCCTTTTCTCTTTCCCATTGTCAAGGAGGATGGGAAGTGGATTTAATATGGTAGGGTAATCCCCTACTCTGCTCATTGTTTACAGGCAATATACAGTCCAGAGAAGATGTGTAATTTAAAATCGGATTAGGCTGTAAGCTTTGGAATTGACTTACATACAATCATGAAAAATTTGTTATATAACAAATCAACCTACATAAAAACCAATTTACATATGCATATATATTGTCAGTCAGGTAAAATATAGAAAGAAAGAAATTCATTTATACATCTATACTTAATTTACTTCTGTTTTCCCTTCGCAACCTCTCCATATAAGAAAATGATAGGAAAAAAAGGGACTAATATTAGGCCTCCGGCACTACACTCATCAGTGTATACGCGGAATTGCTTCCACTTCACAGCTGTAAGTGGTTACCACTGTTAAATGTTTGTGTTAGGATGAACAAGACTCAGTACGTCTGCTGGCTGCGGAGGCCTGTGCCACCGTGGCTGGTCTGCTGCCACCCGAGGACATGGAGCAGCTGGTGATGCCGACTGTCCGCGCTCGTGCTGGAGACACCTCCTGGAGGGTGCGCTACATGGTCGCTGACAAGTTAGTCTCCAACTTTAACTTGAACACTACACTTAATCTAGAAATTTAAAGGAACACATAACTTACTGAACTAAGAACAGTTTTTAACAGTGGTAGTACCCGCTTTAACATCTTAGCAGTGCAGGGCCGGCACGCCCCCAGTAATACCACGACCACACAGAAGACAGGCGTGAAGCCATTCCGTGTTTCGTCTGATGAGTGTGGTGCCGGAGGCCTAATTTAAGTCCCTTTCTCTTTACCACCCTTTTCTTACAAGGAGAGGATGGGAACGGGAAGTGGATTTGACGGTAGAGGAGATACATAGGAAGAGGAAATATCCTCTTGATGTGCGTCTCCTCCTCCGTCGGATAAGGGTAGGCAACGCATCTGCAATTGCGGATGTCTATGGGCAGTGGTCGCCATTTTGGCGGATTCAAGTGTCCGCTTGCTCGTTTGCCACCTTATTTCATATAAAAAAAAAAAAAAAGAACAATTATAATGCCTGAGTTTCATACATAAAGATATTTAGTACTTTTTTCATGTTAAAGCAAGAGCTTGTTCTGTTTACCTAACTTAACATGGGATTGATGGCATGAAACTAGCAAATTGTACCCACCCTAGCAGTAAAACTTGATTGATTACGAAAACGGAGAAAAAAAATCTTGGTACCTAATTGGTTAGGTAAACGGAACATGCCAAAGCAATTAACAAATACCAATATTTTGAAATCAATTCTCTAGTTTTTGAATTCAGACATCCAAAAATACACTCCTCTTGTATATGTTAAGCTTCTTTGAAATTTCCTTTATCATTTACAAGGTACTAAAAATCATTGTTTTTTGTATGAGATTCATTGAGTTGAACCTATGCCTATATGTTCCTTTAAATTTCTAGATAAGAATGATATAATAATAGCTTAGTTTTTAAGGGGGGTAAACACATTGAAAATTGGACAAAATGTTGGTTACCCTAATGATTAAGGTATATGATACTTGAGTGCAAAGGAGCCAGCTGAAAATCAGCGCAGGAACGGCTTAGTCCTGCATACTGAGCTGGCTACCTTTTGCCACGATTGTGTCTCCTTTAGAACAAGTCCTTTTATGTAATTTCTATTTGTGGCAATAAATACATATTCATTCATTCATTCATATTCAAAATTTATGTCAACCAACCAAAAAAATCTTGTGTTTGACAGTTACAGTCAAGTTTTTTTTATGGAACTAAAAAGTTATATATTTTGACGCAAAGTCGTCAGCGAAAGTATATTTGATTCCTGACCATTATATTAATATGGACTCAAAAAAAATTATCTTTTTTAATAGAATTTGTTGAGCCACTACTGGACTAGGATAAGGAGGAAGATGATGATGTTTTTGTGTTTTAAATAATTGTTTTGTTTTTTCAGGTTTGTAGAATTGCAGCAAGCGGTAGGCCCGGAGCTGGCGAGATCAGACCTCGCTCAGATATTCCAAGCTCTGCTGAAGGATACAGAGGCTGAAGTCAGGGCCGCAGCCGCTGGGAAGGTAATACACACAAAACTTAGAAATACATTAAAAAATGATATGTTAACTATTCAGTATTTATCAATCATTAGCTGTGATATAAAAATATTGTTACTGTAAAAGTTCCATTTTCTAATAAATTTCAACAACAATTAAGTCTGTTAATGTTGTTACAGTTACCATTACCATGACAATCTTGCTTTGTTGCTATTGGCTTGTGGTTTTTGTCCCTTTCTCAACTGACAATTTTTTCTGATTATTGATCTCCAAAATTAAACATATATAGCCTATAGCATGTTATAAGTGTAGGGGTTTTAATTAAAAATTAATACATTCAAAAATATACTTGGATTTCCGACATACTATGTGATTTAGTGTGTATTTACACTTTATAGTACTAGCTTTCGTCTACGACTCTGTCCGAGTGGTATTAAAACGAAAAACAAAAGTGAGTAGCCTATGTGTTCTTCCAGACTATCCTCTACATCTGTGTCGAATTTGACCATGATCCGTTCAGCAGTTTAGGCTACAAACTCTAACAAACATCCATCCATCTAAACATTCTTATTTATAATATTAGTAAGATAGATTAAGTATCAACTGACAAATTTCAATTAAAACTAAAATTAGCAGTAAAGTATGTTAAAAAGTACAATTCAATAATCCCAATATTTAAAAGAATTTATTAAATTCCAGGTCAAAGACTTCTGCATGAATCTGGACAAGGCTCACCAGGAGCACATCATAATGACAATGATCCTGCCGCAGATCAAGGATCTGGTCTGCGATCCCAACCAACATGTTAAATCTGCTCTCGCTTCAGTCATTATGGGACTTAGCCCTATTGTTGGCAGACACAATACTATCGAATACCTCCTGCCGTTGTTCCTCACACAACTGAAAGATGAATGCCCCGAAGTCCGACTAAACATTATATCTAACTTAGAATGTGTTAATGAAGTGATCGGAATCCAACAATTAGTGCAATCTTTACTCCCGGCCATTGTAGAACTCGCTGAAGATACAAAATGGAGAGTCCGTCTTGCTATCATCGAGCATATGCCATTATTAGCTGGACAACTCGGACAGGAGTTCTTTGATGAGAAATTGACAGGACTCTGCATGTCCTGGCTTATCGACCACGTGTATGCGATACGTGAAGCGGCAACACTCAATTTGAAGAAATTAGTGGAACAGTATGGAGCGACTTGGGCAGAGACAAATGTGATTCCAAAAGTAATGGCGATGTCTAGAGAACAGAATTATCTCCACAGAATGACTTATTTGTTCTGTATTAATGTGTTGTCCGAAGTTTGTGGCAAAGATATAACAACCAGAGTGCTTTTGCCGACAGTCTTGTCTATGGCTGATGATAATGTTGCCAACGTGAGGTTCAATGTTGCCAAAACATTGCAGAAAATGGCGCCGTATCTTGACCCTGCGGTTATTCAGCCGCAAGTGAAGCCAGTTTTGGAGAAATTGAACGTAGATCCGGATGTCGATGTGAAATATTTCGCATCTGAAGCGATTGCCGGAATTGCTGGATAGATTTCTTTTTAGTATTCTTATTTTCTAGTTTTAATAATCTCGGAAACATTTAATAAAATATTAGTCAACTGTACAAAAGATTCTGAGTATGGATTTCATTCCAGTTTATTCGGCTGATTCTGAGTTATGTTATCTGTAAATTATGACTTTTTAATTTGTAAATTACAGATTATATAAGTTTGTCACTATTTGTAAGGTTTGCAATTAATCAACACTCCATGTGAAACTTAAACAAATTTATTATAATATAAAACAACAAATTGCTTTTTTATTTCAATACCTACTTAACTAAGATTTTTATGATAACTTACAAGATTTAATTTTTACACTACGAAGATTAATAAAGCGTATAATAGCAACTCTTAATTTAGTCAACTGCTTTATTAATTTATTTATTGCAATTAAATTATACAAACATCCATATAAAGTAACAACAATAAGTACCCCTTCGGGCGTGTAATGTAATGAGTACAAATGCAAAGAAACAAACTTTGGAAACAACATAATGCACCTAAAACCATATCATATTTGCAACTAAACACTTTATAACAAAAACAACAGAACGAAACAAAAAAAATCAAAAATTTTGTATACATGTATACATTTAGGCTTTAGGTAGGTAGGTCTTTTCTGTACATGTAGGCGATAATCTTGGGTAAATTCTAAATAGGTTTAAGCACTGTAAAAAAATGCCGAGTACCAAAAGAATCATACCCGTATAGGTTCTTTTTTTATTCATTTATTGAGTCACTAATATTATAAATGAGAAAGTTTGGATGAATGTTTGTTAGTTCGTATCCTAAACTGCTGATCGAAATTCGATGAAATTTGTTCATAGATGTCTAACAAACTGGACGAACAGAGGATACTTACTTTTGTTTTTTTTTTTAATCTGCGTGGCTTGAATCACAAGGAAGAGCTAAGTGAATTATAAATAAAAAGACGATTTAAACTTCTATACACTTTATTTCCATTCAATACATCAGTAACATAATACAACAGAGTCACTGAGTTGTTGCAGCTGGAAAATAATTTTGGAATGTAACAAAGTGTTACCCGGCGATGAAACTGAATTCTATATACATAAATAACTTTAGAAGTTAAATATCACACGCGGACGTTAATGGCAACATCGACTTTTAATTTCAACAGTTTTGTGCACAGAATGTCTGAAGCACCAGCGAAAAAAATAATAGTCACTTTATATATATTTTTTAATCATCTCAATATCTAGGAAAAATATATATACAGAGACGGTAATATTTTTAAAACTGTAACAACACACTGGCTGCAGAGCCATAGACAACTTTAAATCAACATAGCAACACTATTGTTATAATTTTGCAACTTGATTAATATAGATAATACATTACAATAAATCTATTAACAACTTACTATTTAATAAACAGTTTATTTTATCTTACAAGAAATACGCGATCCGACAATCTCCGAACAAAGCGCGGGAGAGAACAATTTGACAGCTGATCATAGACTAAAAATTTTGACATGTCAACTTTGGTCATAGAATAAATAGACGTATCGACCAAAGATTAACTAACCGTAGAGGCGAGACCGCGTTAGTGAGGGGTGGAGGGGCCTAGTGACGCGAGTCACGGGGGTAGAACTCTGCGAGGGTGGATGCGGGGATGCGCTTCAACATCTCCTTGGGGAAGATACGCAGCAGCTGCCAGCCGATGTCCAGCGACTCGAACACTGTGCGGTTCTCGTAGTTGCCCTGAGACAAACAACATCAATTAAAATCCATTTTTAAACGAGGCGTAATTTCATGTTTGAAAAATGATTTAATAACATATTTAGACCGAAACAGTCACAATAGCTTTTATGGAATTCAGAAAGCTGCTTTAAGAAAAAGAATTTAGTAGAATAAGAAAAAGAATATAGTTCTACATGTATGCCAAATTCGATTAAGATCCAAGTTGTTTTGGAGATATGTAGTAACAAACATCCATTTCTTACTAGCATTTACCCGCGACTCCTTCCGTGCTGAATTAAAAAAGCAAAATAAGCTTATGTTTTCTTCAGTCTGTAAGTCCATTTGTGACAAATTTCATTGAAATCCATTAAGCCGTTTGAAAATTGCTTGTAACAAACATCCATCCATCCATCTATTTAAACTTTTACATTAATTACTATCGAGTTTATGTATTTTTTCCATATAATCTGAAATAAAATAACCTGTGTGATGAAGTTCTTCTCAAACTTGGTGAGGAACTCCAGGTAGAGCAGGTCATCAGGAGTGAGCGCCTCCTCGCCCACCACCGCCTTCATCGCCTGCACGTCCTTGCCGATGGCGTAGCACGCGTACTGAAAACACACATTTCCTTAGTAAAATAACTAAAATAGGGTAAACAGAACTATACATATGTATAAGGTCCAGTGGTATTTGAATTCCACGTATAGTAAAGCGACCGCTGCCCACAGACGAACACATATTCCGTTTTTATGTATCTTCACCTATTATAGTTACAAGAGAAGGGGACGACATCAGTCTTCTCTTCCACAAACAAATGAATATTTAAAACTTTTTTTTTTCTCTACTTTTCCCTTGATCTACGTTCAATTTACTACCTGTTTCAATTTAGGGTATTTAAAAAAAAATATGCATTTAAGTGTAACATTATACAGAAGATATTTTTACAAGATCTCTGGAGTGGAGGGACAATAAAAATGAATCGAATTTTCACTTTTGATAATTCTAAGAACCAATGAGATACTTTGCTGTTTTTTACATCGATGTGACATCTGAGCGAATGTAATGAATGAAATGTGACGATTGACGTCACATGTCTCATGACAACTCCGGTCTCGTTTTAATGCCACGAAAATGATCGTAATTTCATTTTATTTTTAGCTTAATGGTTGAATTTTTTCGAGACAATATAATCGTTTAGAAAAAGAAAAAAATACATATTCTATATTGCGGTACAGTCCAACTGGTTGGGGGGGATATTGTGGACTCACCAGCTGGTTGGAGACGTCGGAGTGGTCCTTGCGGGTCATGCCCTCGCCGATGGCGGACTTCATGAGACGCGAGAGCGAGGGCAGCACGTTCACCGGCGGGTAGATCTGTCTGTTGTGCAGCTGACGGTCCACGTAGATCTGACACATAATACATTAGCTACCCTCTGCCACTTCGACAGTATTCAAACATAGACAAATGGAGTACCTCCTTCTTTTGGGAAGTCGGTCAAAAACAAAAAAAAAAGACATTCAAATATAGAGGCATATTTGATACTTCACTTAAATCATTTACTAGATAAATCCCGAAAGTACATTACAATATAATAATTTTATTTAAAATACTTACCAATAGGTATAATTAAATTTTATTTAAATATATTCCATTTGTAACACTGTAATTTTGTAAAATGTTTTATTACAAGTCAATACAAAAGTGGCACTAACCTTGACAACCGACATAGTACCTTTCAAAGAAGTTACCGGTGAAAAAATTTTGTTCATTATGTCTCATCTCTATATTTGAAATGTCTAAATTAGACTTAAGTTGTATATACTAACCTGTCCCTCAGTAATATAACCCGTCAAATCGGGGATGGGATGCGTGATGTCGTCGTTAGGCATAGTCAGGATGGGAATCTGAGTGATGGAGCCATTGCGGCCCTCGACACGGCCCGCGCGCTCGTAGATGGTCGCCAAGTCGGTGTACATGTAACCTGGAGATAGTATACAATGTAGATGTAAAGTATACACACTAGATGTAAAAGATACAATATAAATGCAATATACAATATAGTTACAACAATTATACAACCTAGATGCCAGTATACAATGTAGTTTTAACAAGTATACAGCGTAGATGCAACTATAACTTGAAATTACAACTTTTACACAGTGACATTAGAAGTATACAACCTAGATTTAAGTGTACATTTTAATTACAACTTGTTATTGTAGACACGAGTTTAAAGTGCTGATAAAAATTAAACAAAATTAAATTAATCCCTATAATAGATCATAAGTATAAGATTAGTATACTTGAAATAATAGCATACAGGTAAAAATTTAAGTAGTGGGAAAGTAACGTACCTGGGAAACCACGACGTCCGGGTACCTCCTCACGCGCAGCCGACACTTCACGCAGCGCCTCAGCGTACGAGGACATGTCAGTCAGGATTACCAGCACGTGTTTCTATAATATACAGAATGTATACATACATTACATCTCGAATGTATACATTACATCTCGAATGTATACATTACCTATTGAATGTATACATTACATCCCGAATGTATATATTACATCTCGAATGTATACTTATTCACAATATTTAAAAAATTGTGAGAGAAAATTAAGGTTTACTATGTATTTATTTCATCTTCTAACCTTTGTTATTCACTAGCGGTTACCAGCGTCTTCCGCGCGTAATTAAAAAAATCTTTTTTTTAGTAACAGAACCTGTGTAAGTTAGTGATAATGTAACTTTCCAATGATTAAAGAATTTTGTTCTACGTTACATCAATAAAGTTTCGTTAAATGCGGATACAATTTTACTCTAACACATTTCACCTGAAAAAGTTCTACTAAAAAATCATCAAAATCAAAAGGTACTGTATATTACTAACCTCGCATTGGTAAGCCAAGAACTCAGCAGCGGTGAGAGCAAGACGTGGAGTGATGATTCTCTCAATAGTGGGGTCATTAGCGAGGTTCAAGAACAAACAGACATTCTCCATAGAACCGTTCTCCTCAAAGTCCTGCTTGAAGAACCTGGCCGTCTCCATGTTCACACCCATAGCGGCGAACACGATGGCAAAGTTGTCCTCGTGGTCGTCTAACACCGACTTACCTGGTACCTGAGTAAAATTAAAAAAAAATCGAAATTATAATACAGTAGATAACTCAAGCTTGGGTAACATAAAAATCTCTATAACTTCAAAAAATATGTTCCCTTCCCATCAGCCCAAAACCTCTATAACATAGACTCTTGATAACTTAAAACCTCTATAACTTAAAATATTTAACTGTGGTTGGTACAGGACTAATCATTACGAGTGAACTGATGGTAATTATATCAAGATATAGCACATTAAACATTACACTAGCTGTTTATTAAATAAATAATATTAAATTGTTGCAACTGACACTGCCACAAAAGAATTTTTTTATCATAAGGTGGCAAACGAGCAAACGGCCACCTCAATCCGCCAAAATGGCGAAGAGATCGCTGCCCAGACATCCGCCATTGCAGATGCATTGCCTAGCCTTAAGTGGAAA